ACCTAATCCTTTAAATTTTCCCCCACTGAAACTCTCCCACCCAGCTTTGTTTCACTTAAAGCCAAAAATCCACTGTTTTCTGATTCATACCCACAGTCATCTCTTTCTTACATTCGCACATATCCTGTATACATTATTAAATTTAAAAATAGAACCCTTTTGTTTTTTTTTTGGGCCAACCTCCTTTGGGGAAACGGCCATTTTTGAAAGAAAAATACTGTACGGGACTTGTCTAAGGGGGAAGTCATGTTTGATTTCATAGTCAAGTTAATGTTATATGGGGTTCCCCATTATTGAATCAAGATTCTGGCCTTTCTGAAAATAAACAGTAGGAACTGGATGGGAAATCATTTTTATTTTTTTTCCAGAAGACCATCCCCCAACCTAAAATATCTTTAACCTCATTTCTTTAATTTACTTGATTGTTCCAATAAAGGAAACTTATTTATAAAATTAAGTACCGCATTACAATATTTCACAACTTGTTTAACCCTTTCGGGGTAAAACCCCTTCAAGATTTGTTCCAGGTCCCCAAATTTAAAAAAAAAAAAAATTCTAATAAAAAGATAGAGAATTTTTTCCCATCATAATGACAAAAAAAAGTATAAATTTGGGGAAAATTTTTACGGAATTATGCTCTCGAAAAGTTCAGCTCACGATGTTTACGCATCAGCTTTTTGCCCACTTTGAGCTCTTTTTTCCCAAATTTCCGTGTACTTGTCAACAAAAAATCATAACTGTTTCGCAAAAAACCCCATTTTTTTCTATCAAAGGGAACAAAAACTGCCCATTTACCATTTCAAAATCCAAAAAAGGGTCAAATTTTGCAATTTGCTTTTACAAAAAATTTTCAAAAGACCAATTTCCGAATAGGGTCCAGAATAAACTAAAAACATTCCTGCCAAAATAACTTTCCTGTTATTATCACACCCCACGCCCCTTTTACATTCTTTTGCTTTCCACTTTGAATTTTTTTTTCCACAAAAAAATAAAGATAAACTTTATCAGACTACTGCATTAGTGTAAAAGGGTATAAAAAAATATGGCGCACGTTGAAAGAATTTACTCACCTTTGAATGATTGGATGCTTAATTTTTGTTTACTTTTAAACTTTGGTAAAAATCGAACATTTCTGCTTTTCAAGCTCAATTTCAAGGTACTTTTCTTTGTAAAAACCAGCCCAAAATCACCCCAATTTCTGTAATATGTCTTCCATTCTAAAAAATAGACCAGGAAAACTAAATAAAACAATAATCCTACGAAAATACAGGCAAAGCCCCTGTTTAATCCATAAACAGGGTCAAAGTTTTTTTTTTTTCCTCATTACCACTGTGTGCTGCGGGATTTTTTTTAACTGCGCACACTGACCACATAGACCCCATTCTTTATATGTGGCCCTCCACTTTCTCCACTAGTTTTGGGGGGCGCTAAAATTTTGGGATACTTACGTAAAAAACCCCGGTGTGAAACCGACTATACACCCAAAACCCTAAAAGGGGTTTTAAGGGCAAAAAATTTTTTTTGTTGATAAAAAAAAAATTAAATTGAAAAATTGGAAAACAATGTTTTTTTTTACCAAAAAAAGTGCAAAATTTCTGGCAACATGTTGGGGCATCACTTGTTTCTATCTTTTCAATTTTTTTTCCACAAATATAAGTTTTTTTTTTTTTGTCTTGCTTCCAAGAGGATGAATGGGGCCATTTTTTTTTTTCTATCTAACTATAAGGAAAAAAGGTCACTAAAAACAATGTCTGGTTTCAAAATGTTTTTAAATTTTCACAAAAAAAATTCCTTGAAATTCGACCAAAAAAAAAAAAAAAGAAAATTGGACTTGTCACCCCCTTATAACATGTATTTTGGTTGGTTTATCTACTTTTCAATCCATGTCAGGTTTGAAAAATTTCATCATATTTTGAAAAGCTTTCATCATCTGAATTCTAGTCCCCTTGAATGAAAAAACCCATTATTTAGCCCTTATGTAAAAAATTTTTTTTTTAACACGGGGCCATATCCGTCGGCGGGGTGACAAAAAGAAAAAACCATTAACAACATTTACTCTTTGCCATTTTTTCCGAAAATGGCTGACTCCATTTAGATTTCCCTACGCTGCAAATCCCCAACCTCATTTTTAATTTTCCCCTTTTTTTCTCAAAATATACTACAGGGGCCCCCCCGGTTTACGATATATTTCTTTCCAAATATTTTTCGGGGCCTTACTGAACGAATTTGGCCCCCATAAGGAATATGTGAATTAGTTTAGTCCATTTCAACCCCAAACATACCTTTAAAAACGCCTTACTAAATAACTTACAAAATTTGGTCCATTGGGGAGGACCAAGCGGGGTCCCCTGTATTGTTTTCCCCCACCCTTTTAGCCCTTGAACCAAAAAATTTTTTGTTCTCTTAAAATCAAAAAAATATCTATTTTCAACTAGGAAAAAAAAATGAAATACTTTTGATCACATGATCTTTTCAGGTAATTGGTTTCAATTTCTTTTTA